GGGAAAAGTAAAAAGAGTCTATTGGAATCAGTTGTGAACTAAGTCGTGTGTGTGTGTGTGTGTGTGTGTGTGTGTTGCACATGCTGTGAAGAACGTTCTAAGGGCCGTTCACATAGAACACATCTTTGCGTCTAAAAATGTGAGATGCAGCGCTCAGGAATGATTTTTTCAAAAAGCACAGTGCAGAACACGAGGGTTTCGAGACATGCTTTTGATACGTGATGCAATAATGGAAATAATAGAAAATAGCCTAAATAGAGATATTTCTCTATTTCTGCATGTAAAAATGTAAATTCTTTTAACTTGACAAAACACTGTGTTCATGTGCGAGATGCTGCAAAAGATGCAAGCGCAATGGTCATAAACGTTCATCTAGAGTGTATTTACGTAGAAAAATTATGGAAAAGTAGTGTATTGGGGGACAAAACATGTTCTGTGTAAGCGAACGTCAATTTATGGTTTTTCACTGTAAATTATACATTTTTTTTCCACTTCGAAAAACGGTATTTTACCATAAAATTACATAAAATGTCTATTACAGTTTTTCACCGTATATAGTAGGGGAACTTACCGTTAACCATTTAACATGTTTTACTGTATAACTTTCAGTTTTTTAATGTTAAAATCACGATCATTTTTTTACAGTGCACGCTAACTTGCTGCTATAAACAAAAGCTCGCAATGCTTGCCCCGCCTCCGGAGTCTTCTGATTGGACCACTGTTCTGATTGGACCTACTGACATTGATAAGTACTGTGTGTAAAAGTTGAAATTCTTTTAACTTGTCTTAAAAATGTGGCGCTCATGTGTGAGACACTGCAAAAGGTCTGAGATGCAAATGCAACAGTCATACACATCCGTCTAGTGTGTGTTCTCATAGAAATACTGTAGAAAAGTAGTGCATTGGAATGGAAAAATGTGTTTTGTGTGAACTGCCCCTAAATCTGTTATGAGGTTCCATGTCAGATATATACATAGGCTGTAGACGGCAAGACAGCTTAGAGTTTCTGGAACAGAGCTCCAGATTGATCATGTCTTGTTGACGCTTTCACTATTAGTCTATCCTTTCTTGGTGGATTATGAGTCTCTAAAGCATTCAAATTGTTTATATTAAAAATCATTAATGCTTCATTGATCTATGTATTTTGCTCTTTGTGCATTCATACTCTAATTAGTCAATAAAACATTCATTAATTCACTTCCTCTTGCTGTATAAGCATCTTCTATGCCTTTATACAGACACACACCCTCCAACCTGCACACTCAAACACTGCATTACTGCAATGCAGATCCCGAAAAAAAAAAGCATTTTGGTTGTCATTGAAGTGTTATGAAGTGACACTGTTTGTTCTCATTATTTCATAGCCAGGCTGGCTTGAATTCAGTAAAATAATAAAGTCAGGAAAATAAATGACAGCTATTTTGCTTGATGAATGATACTGAGGGTTCGACAAGTACTGCAGTAATAGAAATCACATCTCATTTGATATGTATCACTCATCTAAATGATGAAACAGATCCAGCGATGAATAATAAATTCACTCGAGAGAAAATTGAGAAAACTGACAGCCTAAACGGAGCTGCCCTTTCTCCCCGATTCTGGAAAGTTTATACAGCATGTCCTCGGCCAGGCTAATTGGTATAACTTGTTGAGCCATTTTGAATTCTTTCATGATATAAGGCCAGTCAAACGGCCCCGGCAGACTCATTGACTGCCAGAGATGATTTATTTATGCCTACATTTCTGATACCTCTCAAACTATGATCTAATATCAACAGACAGCCTGCCAAATGGAGCAGATTGGCCATGACTGTGAAGGAAAGAGGGGGACAGAGCTGCTAAAACGGGGGCCACAGACCCTCTGATCTACCGCCTGACCCCATTTACTCTCACTTAAAGGGATAGTTCACGCAAAAATTACAATACTGTCATCATTTACTCACCTTCTGTTATTTTATTTTTTGCCACACAGGTTTGAAACAAGATTAGGGTGAGTAAAGGAGGACAATATTCATTTTTGTGTATCCCATTAACTATTTTTTTTTTTAGCTAGCAATTAAGAGGTTTTTTTTTTTTTTGTGATCAGATCCCAAGTTAAATATCTCTCTTTTTTAATATAACAATAACAATATATAACTATAAGGTATAATAATTTTTGTTACAATCATAGCATGATCATAGCATAAACTTAAGCAGATAAATTTACACAAAATAAAAACAACAACAACAACAAAAACCCTAATTTCCATAATTCAAAAACATGGTGATGAACAGCAGAAATTAACTTATTTTTAGTGACAAGAGCGTAGCTAAATGCTAAAGTCCAACAACTGGAATTAACTTATTTTTAGCGACATGAGCGTAGCTCATAGACTGTATAAAAACATGGACGTAGTGTCCGTGATGTCACCCGTAGGTTTCTGAAGAGCGTTTTTGAAGCTCAAAGTGGGCGGAGCCGGCCATCGCCATCTTGGCAGCGCGTCACTCCCGGATAATCGAAAATGGGCAAAGAGGAGGGAGCTGGCTGCTGAAACCACGCCCACCTAGCTCGATGGTGGTGACAGCAGCGGCAATCCACCTGTCACTCAAGTGGCCACGCCCTTAATTATGCAGCACTTTAAGGCTTAATATAATTTAAACGGATGAGTTATAAAAAAAATTCACCCCC